TCTTCCTTTTTTTTTTTTTTTTTTTTGTACCGGGGATTGAACTCAGGCCCTTGCACCTTTGAGGCAGGTGGCAGAACCACTGAGCCAAACCCCTGGCCCTTCTCTGCTTACTTTTTAACTCTGCTGTGGCCAAGTCAGGGGCTGCCATGGAAATGCCTGCAGCGACCCCTCAGGCTGCCCCAAAGGTGTCCCTGACCAGTGTGGGTCCCCTGCCCTCCCGCTGTCTCCCTCCGTTTCTCCCACGAGACCAGCTGCATAGCGGAGCTGGGGGTTCTGCCCTGAACACTGCCCGACTCCAGCCCCACTCAGCACTAGATCTGAGGGTGCTGTTGTTCCCCAGGGACCTCGCACGGGTTGGAGGGTCTCCCAGGGCAGACACACTACCCCACCCAGGTGCCATAGCTGCTTGTGAGAGATAAGTAAAGGGACAGTGACACCATCTACAGATAGGCACTGGGGAGATGGTGCCTCAGCCTTCTGGAATGAAACTTCAGGCTCTGGATTGAATCCAGAACATCACACTGAGGTCCATCTCCAGCTTTTTTTTTAAGACAGTGTCTCACTAAGTCACTAACCAGCCCAGACCGAGATTGAACATGTGTGTGATCCTCCTGCCTCAGCCTTCCAGAATGCTGGGATCACAGGTGCAAACCACCACGGTGCTGGTCACTCTGAAGGGAAGACTCCAGACTTCCCTGGGATCCCCAGGCCACATGGGTCTCAGGGACTTGTGTGTGCTGGTTGCCATGGAGACAGCACATTTGTTCCCTGGGCTCCTGAGCAACAGCTCGCCTGGCTTCTGTGCAGACTTGAGCCTGAGAAGTCTTGAGTGGGTGCTGACAGCTTGCCTGCTGGGGCCGGGACCCACAGGTCAGCAGCACCCAGTCTGGATCTCCTCCCACCTCGCTCTCTCTCGATTAATCTATTTTGCACACATTTCAGTATTATTCCAGTATTACTATTATCTATTTATCTATGAATATTTACCTTTCAAAGGCAAAAGAAAACTTTAGAAAAATTATTCTTACAAGAGTCAATGGTTTCCGTTGATTCTGCATTAGTTCCCATGTTCTTTCTTGTTCTTGTTTTCTGATTTGATTCCTTCAGTCACTTGAAAAAAACACATTTCCCCCCAAGTCACTCTGGTTGATTTCAGCATCTCATTTTCAGGGTTCTGACATTGGAGAAATCTTCCTCTGGGGTCAGTGAGTACCTGCTGCGGAGGAGAAGCTTCTGGAATGACACTGTGGCTGGCTGTGACCTCCGTCAGCAAGCCCGGGTCAAAGGTCAAAGGTCACCGGACACAGTTGGGGGCCGCCCCCACGCACGTGCCTGTCTGTCAGAAGCAGTTTTCAGACCCTGCCAGCCCTGAAGCAGCCCTTGGCCTGAGGGGCTTGCGGCCCCGCACATTCCAGATGCTTCTCCTGGGGCTGAGGATGGTTCCCTCCCGGGTTTGTAAGAGGCCCGGGCTGCACCTGTGGGCTCCAACAGGGCCCCGCAGCGCCCCGCAGGTGCTTCTTGAGGTGTTTGCCCTGCTTCCCCTGCTCGTGACATTGTGGGTGGCGGCACCGGCTCGCGGGGCAGTGGGTGCCCCTGATACCTTCGTCCCGGCGTCCTTCTGTGACCACCTGCAGCTCCCGCGCCTCCCCATCCGGCTTCAGACGCCTTTGTGGATGGGGCCCTTGCATGGTAGCGGCCGGCTCCCTGCCCTTGGGCACCAGTGCTTTTCCTGTCTGGCGATGCTCCCCCACCGCACCCCTCCCGGGGACTCAGCACGGCCGTTCCTCTTCCCCGCTTGCTCGCCGGCCAGGGCAGCACCCGTGTGGAGGCTCCGTTTTCGTCCTTTCCGTGCACACGGCAGCAGGCTCTCCCCACAGCTCACAGGGCAGCGGGCCCGCTTCGGAGAGCCGAAGGGACAAGGAGGACAGCGATCCGTGGGACGTTCACCGGGTGCTCCGTTCTCAGCTAACCGTGTTGGGGCCTCCTCGGGTGGAGATATCATGGCAGCCGGGCGGGAGCGCAGAGACTCGGTGGCTTTCGGGGCCTCCCACGTGGCCACAACGTGGCAGACTTGGGCTTGAACCCAGGTCTGATGCCAGAGTTCAGTTTCCCTTTCATCTTGCTATGTCAGGTTAGGTTACACTCTGTTTGCTGGGGACCCGCTGGATGCCCGGCACAAGGCCTGGGGACACAGCAGGGAAACAGAAGGCCCCACCGGCCTCCAGCCACCGCTCGTGTGGGAAACAGACCTCCGGCCGATGCAGCGGGTTCAACAACTGAACCACACTCATCCTGGACCCAAGTGTGACCTCGGGGAACAGGAATCTTGTGGCTGTGCTTAGTGAAGAGGGATCAGACTGGACCGGAGAGGGCTCTGGAGCCAATAACGGGGTCTTTATTAGAAGAGCAGAGGACTCAGAGCGGAGCCGCGTGGGGACAGAGATGGGGCCAAAGCCACACGGAGAGGAGGAGGCCAGGGAGGGACTTCCTCAGAGCCGTGCAGGGCAGACCTGGTATGGAAATGAGGCTGTCATCATAAGCCATCATGGCACTGGTCCTGTACCACAGCAGCTCTAGCAAAATAATACAAATCCTAAACATACAAATAAGGGTGGAAGATGCCAGGGGAGAAGAGCGGGGACTCTGGTTTAGGACTGGGCCGGCAGCACAGAAACTGCAGGCTGCCACTGAGAAGTCAATGTAACACTGTCCAGGAGAGAAAGATGCTCCAGGAGCTTGACTTCGGTAATTCTTGTAATTTGATATTTCCTAGGTACCTCAAGTTTTAAAAAGAAATAGGGAAGATGAATCCTCTCAACAATAAAATGACTGCACAAATAGCTTTAATATTCTATAATTTAACAAGTCATAAATATTTAACCCTTCATCTTGAAATATTCTTATTGTGACATGAAATCAATATAAAAATCAGTAGTGAGATGTTTTATATATATTTTTGTACTAAGCCTTCTAAATCTAGTATCTCTGTTTCAAGCAGCCCTGTTTCCGTGCTCAGTGGCTATATGTTGCTACAGGAGTGGGCGCAGATCTAGAAGATTCTAGCTCTTTCCCTGCCGTTCACTCACCCCTTGATAGAAAAAGGAGTAGCCAACATGTTGAGAGCTTGCTGTATTCCAAGCACTGTGGACATCACCTCAGTACTTTTTCCTTTTCCTAATCCTGGCCATGAATTAGTGCACTAAGGATTCCCTAACTGTAAATCACTCATTTTTGAGCCAGTGATGGCCCATGGTCGACCTAAGGTACACCAGGTCCTACAGTGGCAGACCACCAGGGTGGGGACACCAGGGAGCTTTTGCGACACTGAGCCGGGCACTCAAGGGTCCAAAGAGTCCGCTCTCTATAGAGAGGGGCCACTCTACTCTCCCAGCCTCTGTCTAGGGAAAACCAGCCAAGTGTTAGACATTGTCATACCTGGTAAGATGCTCCAGGTCAGTTCCTAGAGATCACAGCAAATTTGAAGTAAACATGAACCTCGGGGTTATTATTATTGTTAGGTTTGTGGAAATGAAGACGTTGGAGATGATACGGTTGAAACCAGACTCATCTCTCCAAGCAGTGTTCAAAAGGAGAGGAGGTGCTTGACCGGAGAGACCTGTTAAGGGAAAGTGAAAAATGAGGCCACAGGGATCTTTCCCCAGTTGCCCTCACTCCGTAAAGATCCTCTGGGGGGCGGGGTGCAGGTGACATCACAGGCCCTGAATTCATCTTGGGCTCCTCAGTTTCCTGTCCTTCCTCTAGGAAGCCTTCCGTCCTGGCCCCCAGGTAGCTCGATTTCCTCCCTCTGAACTCCAATGCGCCCACGTCTAACTCAACAGTGTCTCCTAGAATTCTAATCGCCTAGTTAATTGAGCGTTTTCCTACAAACAGAGGTCTGCAGATGCTTTTTAAAATAAAGACCCAGATGGGAATTATCTTAGGCTGAGCAGACCACGTGGTTATTGTCATTGCAGCACAAAGCCCCAGGGAAAACATAACCAAGCTCAGCTCTGTTCCAATAGAACTTTATTTAGGGATGCTGAAATTTGACTTTGGTGTAATTTTCATGTATCGTAAATTACTGTTCTTCTCTTGACTTTTCCCCTCAAGCCATTTAAAACCGTGAATTGTTTCCTTAGCTGGTGGACTGTCCAAAGCAGGGAATGGGCCCGACTGGGCCAGAAGGTCCTGGTTCCCTGATCTCCTGATCCCTGCTCTCAGCCACAGCCCAGTGAGGAGCAGAGCCTGACTGTAATTATCTCTTTCAACAGCAAATTCCCAGGGAGCAAAGCCCTGCTCAGAGTCTAACTTGACAACCAGTTGTAGAAGGAATAAATTACAGAAGAGGGGAGGTAATGGTTAAAGACATTAACTTGTCGGAAAAATATTAAATTCACAAATGGGTTTTATTTGCTCTAAAGTGTCATTGCTTTTTCCTTCCTTGCCGAATGTTATGAAATGCTAATTAGTTCCCATCACAACCACGGTTCACAGATCTGCTAGATCTCCCTTGTCGGGGTGCACACACTGCACCCCACTCTGAAGACTGCATGACTTGGCTCAGCCAGGGACAGCACTCAGCCCTGTCAGGGAAACTGAGGCAAAGAGCCATCAGAGCCAGGGGAGGGCACAGGAGCCTAAAGGAGGAAGAGAAGTAGCGTGAGAAATAAAATAGATGCCAGAAAGGTCTTGTCCCAGATTTACGGGGCTGGGCTAGTGGATGTCTTTCCCTAATGATTGGAAAGTTCTTGGCCCACAGGAAGGGAAGGCTTTGGGGTCCCCTCTGCCTTCACAGGGGTGCAAGGAGCAGCGTGCTCTCGTCTTCCTTGCCTCTCCAGACCTACGTGCAGGGTGGACAAGCAGCCCTCTTCCTGCATCCCGTAGGAGGTCACTTGTGTACAGCTCCTTTCCCAAGACCAGCTTTTCCCAGTCAGCATGACTGACACCAGGCTGGGGTCCCTCTCTGCCGGGTGCCCTGGGCACTGCAGGATGGTGAGCTGCGTGCTTGACCGCTACCCATGAGATGCCAGGAGCACCCCCAGCCCTGGGGTTGTGAAATAAAATGATGCCATCTAGCATTGCAAATGTCCTCTTGGGCTCAGAACTGTCCTCCTCTCCCAGCTGAGAACCACCGCTGCAGAGCAGAAATCTGAATGCAAGTCCTTGTGCCACGGTTAATCGGAACTCCTCTGGCCCTCACCAACACTAAACAGAAACAAAGATATCAGAGTAAACGGTTTCTTATAAACTAGAATGTGACGGACATGAAGAAATGTCCTTTTCTAGGCTGGGCTTTCCTATGTCTGTGGACAGAGGCCTATTGTGAGGTGACAGTTCGAGGTACAGCAGCTTCTTCCCTCAAAAAATGCTTATGCCTGGCAGAATTGAGAAGTGGCAATCCTGTGTTAATCTGCTTTTTCGCTTTGTTTCGCTTTGGAAGTGTTAGTGGAATGAAATTCCAGCCTACAAATGGGCTGGGCAACTGAGAAAGAAAAAAAAAACGTATTTTCCGTTCTCTCTTGAAGGCTTCTTAACCTCAGCAATTCCCAGAGATCTGCCTCGGTTTTCTCAGCTGCAAAAGGCACACAACCACTGCGCCCACCTCGTAAAGTTTTTGCAGAAGAGATGAAAAAACATACTCAGAGCACAGGCTTAGTTTATACCCTGGAGATCCCTCGGCTTAGAGCCTATAATTTACCCAGATTTGTTTAAGCCCAGGATAAATGTTAGGGATTATTATTATTGGTATCTTCCAACTCTGCAGGTTGCAAGACAGTGTAGTTCCGTTTGCCCTTGGCAGGGGCTGCATTCGGGCACACACTGCTCCCTGTAAAACAGAACAGGGAGCCCCCCCACCCCGAGAGGCCCAAGCCCTGCCCTGGGAAGACACAGTGGACGCTGGGGATCCTCTTCTACCCTTCCTCCCGCAGCCTTGCCTCTACATCCAGAAGGAGAACAGAGAGAGGCGTAATTACCGGCTCACGCTGCGGTTCCAAGGGACCGACATGCCCGTGCCGGCTGCACCCTTTAAGACACGGGTGTCATTCAAACGTCCACACCCTAATTACGGGGTAGGGAACATGAAAGTGGACGGGGTGCTGGGGGGCAGCCGACCTCCCCACCCCTTCCTTTTAAGTGCTCATTATGAAATATTTATCTGACTGACACCCCACCCCAGCCCCCTTTCATGTAGGGGCCCTGCGTCTCCTCCCCACCGGGCTCCCCCTCCCCACAGAGGAAAGGGGCACTGGAATCTCCTGGGACGGCAGTCT